CTCTTTAATGAGAAACTATTCTGTTCTGTAAAAAAAAAAAAAAAAAAATAGAAGCTAATAGATGAAAAAGAGCTACGAAATATACAATTGTGGCCCCAAAGCAGATAATCCAACACATGAAGCAGGTGATGTATTCATACAGAATACCAAAAAATTCCCTGAAATGAATGAACTGAATCCACAAAACAAAAAAGGAATCTGTATTTCAGGAAAAACTGATAGAGAACAACAGTCACTGAGACATATCCTGATTAAGTTATTATGATTCAAGACTAAATAAATTCTTTAGTGAGGCATTCAGGCAAAAGTAAGTCATTTTTCAGGAGACACAAACTTAAGTTCTCCTAACACATCTCCACAGTATCACTGAATGCCAGAAGAATGTCTACAAAGTCCTGAGGAAAGAAAGTGTGTCCCAAGAATTTTAGACCCAGCCAAGGTATCCTTATACTATAAATATAAAAGATATTCCAAGTGCACAAGAGTTTAGGCACTACAACGCTTATGACCCTTCTTGAAAAAATGTCTTGACCATGAAATCTAGTGAACCAACAACTCAGGAATGGGGAAGCTATGGTAAGAGGAGTAGAATGTACTAAATCTACTTGAATATAGAACTACAACTACAGGAATTGTGATTACAAAGCAGAACGTGTATTATACAAACCCTGACAAGGTAAAAATAATATAAAGCTAACAAAAATCAGGAGATGGAGCTGAGAGAGAAGGGAGAAAGTGTAAGTGTGTCAATTTCCTCTTCTTATTTCAATTTTTCAATAATCCAGTCTAAAATCAAACACATAGTAAAAAATACAAAACAATTCCAACTTTTACAAAATTATTCTTTTTAAAATATCATTTTTTTAACTTTAGAGGGATCTTTTAGGAACTGATATCTCTTACTGTGAAGAAACATTTTCTTAAAATTCAGTAATTTCTTGTTATATTTCAGAATCTCTTTTATAAATTTAAGTAAGATAAAATTTACTTCTTTAATTAAAAATAGTTGTTCTAGTTAGTTGCCATCGAGTCAGCTCCATGGTGGCCTTATGCATAACAGAATGAAGAGTTGCCTGGTCCTGAACTAAATTAAAAATAGAACATATAGTATATCCCATATTTTATTAAATTATTCCTGGCTAGCAAACTATTCTTCTACTTGCATACATGCAAAGAAAAGTGCCTGGGATGGTGTTCGTCTAATGTTGCTGTTCTTAGGTGCTGTCAAGTCGATTTCGACTCATAGTGACCCCATATGACAGAGTAGAACTGTACCATAGGGTTTTCTAGGCTGTAATCCTTATGGGAGCAGATCACCAGGTCTTTCTCCCGTGGAGCTGCTGGGTGGGTTCGAACTGCCAACCTTTTACCTAACTGCTGTGCCATCAGGGCTCCTTCATCAAGTGTTAGTAATAGCTAATTCTGGGAGGCAGGATCTGGAGTGATTTTTAAATAATTTATTCCTTATACTATTCTATATTGCTTAAACATAGTAACCATTTGTTTTTTACAACATAAAAAGTCATGTTTAAATTATAAAAGCTCCCTAAAGCTCTTATTGAATTTTTAACAAACTATAAAACAGATGGTAACTATATAAAAATTTACAAAACAGAGAAAATTCAAGAAAATAAAAATCACTCGTAGTGTCATCTTCAGAGTCAACCACAATGAACAGTTTCCAATCTTGGGATGAAGTCCTTGGGTGGGGTAAACAGTTCATGTGCTCGGCGGCTAACTGAAACTTTGGAGGTTCAAGTTTACCCAGAGGCACCTCGGAAGGCCCGGTGATCTACTTCAGAAAAATCAGCCATTGAAAGCCCGGTGAAACACAGTTCTACTCTGACACACATGGGGTTGCCATGAGTCAGAGCTGACTCGACAGCGACTGGTTACTGATTAATCTTCGGATGGAAAGGATTTCAGAAATACAACATCAAATATTTAATAAATGGCCCCTTATATTTTCCCCACTAATTTTATGGTCATATTAGTTGCATTCAAATACTTACTCAACCAGAATTTACTTTGGTTTTTAGTATGAAATAATTAAATTTTTTCTGCTATGTTTTGTTGTCTTAACACCATGCATTGAATAATCTATTCTTTGCTGAGTTGAAATGCTGCCTTTACTAAGATCTTACATAGAATGAAATACCTACGGGTTTGAATACCCTCTCTCATCCCATTTTTTCAGAGACCTCAACACACTCAGAAACGCCTTGACTATCGAGCAAACTCTCCCTTCAGCCTTCTGCTCAAGTGCCATTGTTCTACAAAGCCTTGTTCCTTGTAAATATCTCGGCTGTAACACCTTCCACTACATTAGTAGGCACTTTAGTACTTCCCTGGAGCCCAGGTGGCACAGTGGTTAACAGCTCAGTTGCTAACCAAAAGATCGGCAGTTCAAATCTACCAGCTGCTCCTTGGAAATCCTATGGGGCAGTTCTACTCTGTCCTACAGGGTCGCTATGACTTGGAATCTACTTGACAGCGATGGCTTTTTTGGGGTTTTTTACTACTTCCCATAAAGGCAGGTACTGCATCTCAAATTCATCTTCTGATCCCTCGCATCTGGGTAGAGTGCCTGGCACACACAATAGGTGCCCAAAATATCTTCCTCAAGCAACAAGTCTTCCCCCACCCCATCATCTTCTACCTACACGTGACAGTAGACACCTGAATAGTAAAAGTCACGAAAAAGATTCTGTAGGATTTTCGTTTGTTTTTTTAAACATTAACTATAATTACATGTCATTTCATCATCTCAGTTTTGGAGACTTGTTAAATACTAATTTGACTTTCCTCAGCAACACTTTCCTCCTAGTTTTGTTCCTATTGTTAACGGCTTGCAATCCTCATGATACTAAGGCAACAGCTGGCCATATGTACCCAATAGAATCCAGCTATTCCAGGTACCCGGAGTCCTATCATTAAGCAGACTTCTTTAGTATAAGTACTAGCTTATCAAGACCAAAGCATTCAATGACTTGCCTTTGTGCTGAACCAAATCTCAGGACACTGAATCTGCCAAGCTATAGGCAACTTCCTAGCTAGAGGAACTTGCTATAAACTAGTCCTAGAAATGGGCACACTCAGCCTATGGGCAGAATGATTTAATACCTAGTGCCAACTATAGGTTTATTAGTTCTCAGGATGTAAGTCTCACCTGGCACTCTGCCATTCCAAAGGGAAGACAGAAAGAGAAAGCACAGAAACACCAATAAAGATCAGAAGAAGCCAAAGCCACACAGACACTCCCTTCAGCACTAGAGCCAGAGGAACACTGCCGCCATTTAAGTGATTGTACCCCATGGAGAATTCCACAAACTGGGAGGAGTGAACAGGGTAGCCCATCCTTATTCTGGATTATATCATGGCTAACTCTAGCTTATCCAAAAGGTTTAAGAACTAGGGAATATGACAAAGGTTTGGGAAAATGAGAGTTGTTGAGTCTGAAGAAGCAAAGACAAGGGAATTGCGATGGATTTCTTTAAATACTTGAAAGGCTATGATGTGTAAGAGGAAACAGATTTGTTCAGTATTTTTTCAGAGGCTAGAACTATACCTACTGGGTAGAAATTACATAGAGGCAGACTTCCAGTTCAAATAATAATGAACTTTCTGAATAGAGCTGTTCAACAAGGGGGCAGCCTACCTTGTGAAGCAGGTAGTTACCTGGTACACACATTGTCTTGAGTACCATAGGTCAGGGACGCTATGGAGGGATTCTGAATTAAGGGGGATTGGACCAGGTGACCTCAAAGTGTCTTCTAGGACTATTTGATTGTAAATGTAATACTTAAACAGAAAAGCGTTGCTCTTCAAATACAAATAAATAAAGAAATGTGTTCACTAATCAGAAATTTGAGAGGTATCAACCACACCCTTATACTGAGCTTTTCTAGCTTTCAATAATATGAATTTCATGATAAAAAATTACAAATCAGTTTGCTTTTTTAAGATTTATAAGTAGACAGATGTAACTTTCTATCTTTAAAATAAGCTGGTTAAAAAATATTAGCTGGCTAGCCTCAGCCAACATGGGAATATTAGCCATACAAGCTGTAACACTGCACAAGAAAGAGCTTGAATAAACATCTGAAAACCTACATTCCTGCATCTGAAGATGAAGCCCCACTTGGACTTCTCAAGTAGCTACAAAAATGAACACTGGAAACCTTCTCGGCATAATGCTAGGATTAATCTCTGAGGAGATACAGATTAGAATAAAGAATCGATTCTGATTCAACCCATCCTGGCAGCTAGAGGCTAAAGCAGAGCAGCAGGTGAAGCACCAACCTCAGCTAAGTGAGAGTGTCCTCAAGCACAGGCCGTCGTTCCTGTGGGCTGTCACCAGCCACTCCTAGCCGCTCCCAAAGACCTAGAACCCCGCTTGCCTTTGAGAGTCTGGGAGAGAGACCACTTCACTAATATCATAGCACAGCTCTAGCTTTCTCCAAACCTGAGTCCAAACTCAAGTCAGAACTGAACCAAAAGACAAAACAAAAACCAGCTGCCACGGAGTCAATTCCAACTTACGGAGACCCCATAAGTGCAGAGCAGAACTGTGCTCCATAAGGTTTTCAAGGCTGTGACCTTTTGGAAGTAGATCGCCAGGCCTTTCTTCTGAGGCACCTCTGGGTGGGTTCGAACCAGCAACCTTTCAACTAATAGTTCAGCGTTCAACCATCTGAGCAACCCAGGGACTCCCAGAATTGAGCACCAACAGGTATTGGGTCATCTTCTAGGTCCTGATTAAAAACCAATCCTTCCTAATTTTCCCTTCTGAAGGTAAATATGCTTATCCAGGATTTTTCTAATTGCTTTAGGGAAAGTCAAATACAAATGTTAAACTTCATATGAAGAAAACAGATCTGAACAATAAGAGAAAGGAGCTTTCGTATTTGGCAGGAGAAATGAGGGAAATGACGAGAAATGATATCAGTGCTCTAACACGCACCACACAGAGGAAGATAAACCTGTACAAACCAACCAACCTGAAATTCTGCATGAACTGCCGGAACTTGTCCACCCTTTTTGCCAGTGGCACGATAACGTTGATAAGCGTGCTGGCCGTGCTGAGGTTTTCTTTTTTTACTTTCATGATGGGGCCAAATGGTCGGAACAAGACAAGTCGTTTGAATTCATGTTTTTGGTCCCCTTTGAAAGTAAGCTCATACAAAGTGCCTTTATCTCTTTCTGTTCGGTAGATCCCTGTTAACAGAAACGCAAGGAAAGATAGTTTTAAAAATCAGTCTTGGCTGCTAAGTGTTTTTTAATAGCAAAGATCTAGCACAAAATGTCTTTTTTTTTTTTTTGAAAGAAGAAAATTAAGATTAAATCTCTCCATCAAACAATTATTGTTGTTGTGTGCTGTTCAGTCAATTAGGGAACTCAAAATGCTCCCAATTAAAAATCCCAAAAGAAATCAAAATACCGTCAATTTAAAAATCACAGTTATGAAGTCTTCATAAAGACATGGAAAAAAGTTTCCATGTTGGATACAAAACTGTATTTATACTATATATATATAAAAAAGTCAGCAGTGATACATGGTGATCTCATGTGTGCCAGAGTAGAACTGTGCTCTATAGGGTTTTCAACGGCTGATTTTTCGAAGGAGATGGCCAGGCCTTTCTTTTGAGGAACTTCTGGGTAGACTGAAACTTCCAACTTTTCAGTTAGCAGCCATGCATGTTAGCTGTTTGCACCACGCAAGGACCCCAGAGAGGCATTAAAAAAAGGACTGTAAAGAAATAAGCCAAAATAAGACTGACTGTGATGTGAAGTAGGACAATGGGTGCTTTTTTCTTTTATGTTATTACTCAAATTTTCTGCCATGTGATTAGATGAACATTGTATTTATTTAATTGTTAAAGTGTGTGTTAAAATTCTCTCTTAGAAATTACAGCCATTTCAGATGAACTAACTGTCGTGAAATCTGGGGCACCTGGGAGTGGCTGAGGGCCAATGGCTCAGGACCAGTCACATGGGTTATGTGCCTCCGAAAGCTTCTCTTGAGCATTAAAGCAGACATGTAAAGTACTCATCAGAGTGGCTGGCACACATCTTACTTAGTTTCATATCTTCCATATCTTCATATCTTCTTCTGAGAAGCAGCATAGCTTAATCCTTCAGAGCACAGACTCTTGAGCCAGACTGCCTGGGTTCAAATCCTGGTCCCTCAGGTTTACTTTGGGAAATTAACCGTCTGTGCCTCATTTTCTCCATAGGTGAGTGTGAGGATTAAATGCATGAACATATGTAAAGAGATTAGAACAGTACCTGGCCACATAGTAAACCCTCAATAAACGTTAGCTATCACCATGACCCCCTTCTTCTGTCAGTTCTGTTGAAACGGCATATCGAGATGGTACAGAAGCCAAAGAGAAGTCTATGTACTTCCCTTCAAACTGTGTTCCAGCCAATGTCATTGTTACTGAAACCCAACAGAGCGCTCACTTGTTAGGCTGAAGATGTGAACGCAGCTCAACTCTCAAGAGGAGCCTTCCGAGGGCCAGACCTGACAGGATCCCCTGACATCTCAGTTTCATTTCCTCCCCAGTATCACTGGTTTCATACGACAGCAACAATGAATCATCTCCGGAAAAAAAACTTGTAAAATTCAACAAATCACCAGATAAGCTCCTATACTCTTTCACCTTTTTATCTTTGATTTCTCCCCAATTTTTTATTCCATGTCACTTTCTCCCTCTTAATCCCCACATTCGCTGAGAATGTACCTTTCAGTATTTAAATGGAATTCCTGAGTGGTGTAAACAGTTAATGTGCTCGACTGCTAACCAGGCTGGAAGTCTGACTTCACCCAGAGGTACCTTGCAAAGGCCTGGCTATCTGCTTCAAAAAATCATCCACTGAAAACCCTATGGAGCATAGCTCTTCTCTGACACACACGGCGTCACGTTGAGTTCAAGTCTACTCAATGGCAACTGGTTAGTCTTTAAGTAGTTATAAAAGTAAAGCCACAGAGAAAATTTTCTGCCTATGGTCAGTTAGTTTTTCAAGGCCTCTCACAAACTACTTCTCTTTTCTGCCTCACTCTCCGTCTTCTCTTTTGTGAAAACTATAGCCCCCTTCACAAACATAGTGAAGTCTCTTCTCTATTTTCTGCCTTACAGAAGTTCTTTTCAACCTCGTAGTGTGCTGTCAAGTGGATTCCATCTGTATCACAGCAACCCCATGTGACAGAGTATCACTGCCCCATGGGGTTTCTTGGCTGTAATCTTTACAGAAGCAGATCGTCACGTCTTCCTACTATAGAGTGGCTGGGTAGATTCAAACTGCCAGCCTTTCGGTTAGCAGCCAAGTGCTTAACCGTTATGCCACCAGGGCTCCTTCTTTTCATCCTACAGTACCGGTTTTACAGCCTCTTTAATCCTGTTCAAGATTCGGATCTCCCTGAGGGGTCACAGAGAGGAGCTTGGTACTACGAATTTTCGAAGTAGTCTCATTTCTCACAGCTATCCTGTGAGCCTGGCCAAACATTCAAAACACACGATCCACTGAGACGGAGCACAAGTGGTTTAAGGACCTGGATGTAGAGTTACAAGGACCAGGTTCTGTTCTGAAGCATTCCCTGATTCCTTGGGCAACAGGGCATGCTGCTCAACTGCTCTCAGAACTTGTCTTCCAGGGAAACTGAGCTCATTTTGGGAAAAAAATTTAGAGTCCCTGCAGGGGCCAGTCATGGAAGAAAGCAGAAGGTTCATTTCTGAGGAAGCTCAAAGGACGTCTTTGAAAATGTAAGTGGTTCCCTTCAAAGTCTGTTAATTCTTTCAGGCAATTAGCGCCCATCGAGGAAACAGGCTTGTCCCCACCTCCCGTGTTCTCTAGCACAGCTGGGTGAGCCACCAAGTCCCGGGAGCCAAATAAGGCTGCACAGAGTTGGGAAAGAACCACACTCAGTATCTGAGAGTATATCTGCACAACTAAAAACAGGCCTGCCTGGGTCAGTGGTTGTACCTTATCAAGCTTCTGTTATTCGGTGTCAGCAAGCTACCTTCTCCACAGCAGCCTTAAACACAGAGAAGGCTGCTGACGATTTACCATGCAGATAAAAATGCATGTGGGCGGAGGGACTGTTTTTTCAACTGAGTCACGTTCTTTCTCTGCATCAGGATAAGAATCATTAACTCTTTAAAATCCAAATTCACAGAGTTGGATATACAGGTAGAAATATACTCAAACCCATCTAAAGAGATGGGCATCTATGAAGAACACAGAGAATGTAATAATTCTTATTAATAGTGCTTCTTGTAACATATAATAATAGCCGCCTTTGTGGTGTATACATCATCAGCCCGGGGCGACAGGTATCATCACGCCACGGCCTCTGCTAGCTGTTTTCAGGTGTAGTAATTCTTCCTATCCAAAAGGTCATTATGCCCAGGCTAACCTAGCATTTTACCACCATTTAGCTGCTTTCTCATTGTTTTCCACATACTATGCCTTGCAATAATCATTGTATCGGCATTTTAGTATGTTTCTCCATACTCTACTTTAATTATGTCTTATGAATCTGACTTTAGACCCTTTAATTTCACTCGTTTTAAATAAGTTTTTCAAAACTCTCTTGCAACCTATGGCCACCAAAACACACTCCCAGCCAGCCACCTACCCACACCCACCAGCACACACTCACAGCCTTGCACACAGCAGGCACTCTCAGTCTGCCTTCTGTGAACACAAAGGACAACACCTGAAGGAATCCTTTTGCGTCCTGGAAATCTGCCGTGGAAACGCCAAGGAACTGAGAGAAAGGGAGGAGAAACATCCTGAGGCAGGGGTGATTTTTCAGCCATCCTTTTAAAGCTGGCATGCACAAAGGCAAATGCCAAACAAATCAGTCACACAGACACTTTTTCTTGTAATATTTTACACCATAGTATCATTTGTATGCGCTATTCAAATTAAAGATCAAAGGTAAGAGCTCTCACTAGCTCTAAGGAGTTAACTTAGATCTTTGCTTAAACATCTTGACTGTATCTCTTTTCCCTTCTTTCTCTCCATAAGTGATAAATTTACTTAGAGTTTGGTGTTTCTGCCTCTGTGCAAGCATCCCAATGCATATCTTATCCTACTCAAGGGGACCCCCAAACTAGGTGGGGACACCTCCAGGTATCCAAGATTCAGCTCTGTAGCATGCTACAAATGTTTACTCTTTTAGGATGCACGGAGTTAATCAGGTACAGATCCCTTCTTCATCCTGTTTTCAACTTGTTGTTGTTGTTAATTGCCATCAAGTCAACTCTGACTCATGGCAATCCCATATACAACCAACCAAAACATTGCCTGGTCCTGCACCATCTTCATGATTGTTTGTATGCTCGAGTTCATCGTTGCTGCCACTGTGTATTTTGAGTGCTTTCCAATCTAGGGAGCTCATCTTTCAGCACTATATCAGCCAATATTCTGTTAGGATCCATAGGGTTTTCACTGGTTAATTTTTAGAAGTAGATCACCAGACCTTTCTTCCTAGTCTGTTTTAGTCTGGAAGCCCCATTGAAACCTGTCCACCATGGGTGACCCTGCTGGTATTTGAAATACTGGTGGCATAGCTTCCAGCATCATAGCAACACATAAGCCACCACAGTATGACAAATTGACAGATGGGTGGTGAGTTTTCAGTTTAGGATCTTGGAAATCATGATGCTGAAAAGCAAGGAAAGTGCCAACCCTTCACATTTCTTACCCTCACTCAATATGAATGTATACAGGTGGCAACCAATGTTGCACTGCTGAGCCCACGATGAACTTCTCCAAACCTCCTGTCTGCACAACAGTGACTTCATTCTCATGAGCCCCAGCAGGGTGTTCACATTCACCCGTGATTTCCTATCATACTGCATGGAGCTGATGTCTCTTGGCTGGATGACTATAATCATCTGCCAACTCATATCTCACATCTCGGCCTCCACGGGCAATCCATATTGCACATATCCCTTGGCCCTTGCCTTCCCTCAGTACCACTCTAACCCTGCTATTCCTCTAAGCTCAAAAGCCCCCACCAGCTTCCACTGCCTACAGAATAAAGTGCCAGCACCACACCTGGCTGTCAAGATCCTTCATAATCTGGCCCCAACCTACTGTTCTAACTGTATGTCTTGTCCCTGCCTTATATGAAATCTGGGCTGCAGTCAAGCTGGTTTATGATGAGCACTTTACTTTCTCTCCCCTGAAAAGGTCTTCCCTTTCTCACGGACACACATCCCCACCAGTCCATAATACCCTTTCCCTTTGATAGAGCTTCTAAATCCGACCCTCCCCTTCTGGGAAGATTCCCATGACATTCTCAATTCAAAGTGATCAACCCTTCAAACACATTGGTCTTACAGCTTTTAAACTCATCTTCTCTATACTATGTTTTTGGCACATGAGATCATGAAAGGACCTTGGAAATCATCTAGTCTAAACCTTCGAACATTAGAGATGAGAAACTGAGACCCAGAGAAGTTGTGATTTGCCTGTGTTCACCTAACTTGTTAATGGTTGATGGGAACACACCCCTGTTCAAGTGTATACTCCCTAGAGACCACTTTTCATCTGCAACATTAACAGTTCAGAACATAGAAAAGAATCAGGAACACACACACAAAAAAAACTTCCGAGAAGTCAAAATAAACCTTAGAAAGTTTATGTTAAACCCACTGCATGCAGCTCATTTATGTACAAATAAATCTTCATGTCGACCCTAGAGCTTTGCTTTTACTTTACATACAATTTTAACAGTTGTTAAATATCAGTTATCTGAATTCCAGTCTATAACACCGTGAAAGCAGTAAATTTGAAACAGGGCAGGAGGGGGTCTTGATTAAAAAAAAAAAAAAAAAAAAGATATTTCCAACAAGAAAACGAAGAATATATGGGAAAAAGAAAATCTGTAATAGGCAGAAGTAAGAAGTACTGACAATAATAAACAGCGACAGGTATCCTCCTGACAACAGGGGTGGGAGCAGAACATTCTTTTTTTAATAAAGAATTTTAAATGTCTGAAACCACTTACGATACAGAAAAAATACTCCACTCATCTAAACTGCTTTTGAAGACATCACTGTAAGACCATATATCCAAAGAGGTGGGACATTACATTCAGCTTACTCTGTTCCAAAAGAGATACGGATAAATATCCAAGAAGAATTTTACTCCAAAAACAGTTTGGTTTTTTTTTTCTCACTATATTGGTGCTTCACTTATCTAGAATGTTCCACTGAGATGGAATATTTCATTCCCATACCATGCGAGATAAATGAGACATTGTGACAGTGCCAGCTGCTGCCACCTCTATTTTTGTAGGTAAAGTAGTAAACATCTGGTATTTGTGAAAGAGATGTACTAAAACTGCTATGAATCCCCAGACACTCAGATATTATATACTAAATAATTCCCCAATTAAAAAAAAAAAACCCACACAATAAAAAATGTGTGCACTTTCAGGCTTTCCACAATCTGCTGGGTTACGGAAATGTTGACACGTTGCCCATTTTCTCCTCATCACAGTTTATCAGTTCACAGCATCCTCTGGACATCAAGTTTATCACTATTTCAACTTTCACTAAAAGTTTCTTTCATTTGATTAGAAACATACTTGCTGAAACAATTCATGGATCACCTTTTCTTATTTCTATATAGCACATTTGGCACGTATTTGTTCATATCCTTGATCTAAGCAGACAAATCCAATATGTGGCTCTTAGCTACAGAAATTTCTAAGAACCTCACTTACTTAGAGCTCCTCTTCACCTCAGCACTGGTACGGGCAGTCAACCTTCTCTTCAGAGCCGTCTTTCCACAAAACAACAAACAACCTATTACTTCATGAAGGCTACGTGTATTCGACTATCAAGAAAAAATGGAGACACACTCTGATTCTGCAGCGGCCTGCCAGCCTCACACCAATTCATAGTCAACTGACATGGTTATTTTTAGTATTATTGATTTTTTCTCATGGTTATTATTGACCATGGATTGTGCTGTATGGTAGAGATATAAAGATGGACATGACAAAATTATTATGCACTAGGACTTCACATTCTAGAGGAAGACAGGAAAGCAAAATAGTCCTAAGTAACATAAGTGCCTAACAGAGTCTGTCCAAGGTGTGAGGGAACAAAAAGGACAGAGTATCCACCTAATGGAGGGTGTGGACAGCCTGACAGAAGTTGTTTCACCAAAACTCACGACCGAGTTATTTGCCAAGACTGAAAAACCAGAGAGGGAATTCTAAGGAAAGATCACAGCATAGGCAAAGATGCTGAAAAAAACAAAACAACGTGTTATGTTTGGCAAACCTGAAGCAGCTCAGCAAGGCTAGGAGTATAAAAGGTAGGTGTGGGAGAAAGGTGGGAGAAGGAGCTGGAAAGTCAGGTAGAGCTACACCATGCAGGCCCACTAAGTCCTACTTACAGGTGAAAGCTCTATCCTGGAGCTAGCAGCAGCTAGGTTGATCCTTTAAGAGGGCAGAGACAGCCATTTTGGGTCTATCATGTTATAGCAGTGTGGAGGATGGACGAACCAGAGGGCCTGAGATCAGAGAGCAATCAGGAAGGAACCACGATGGTTCAGCGAGAAATGACAAGACCTGAACTAAGGCAGTGGCAGTGGAGATAAACAGAAATTGAAACAGGAGAGAGAACTGAGAGAACTTGGTTAGAAATTGGGATGGCAGGTGAGGGAGAGGGAGAAATGTAGGGTGCACCTACGTTTTTAGCCTGGGCACCTGGTATGTAGTGATATCATTTACTGAAACGAGTGGCAGTTACAGGTGGGAAATGGGTTATGAGCTAAGCTTTGGATAAGTAAAAAGGTCAAAGGAATGTGTGACCATAATTTGAGAAGCCTGTGGATGTCTGCTGTAGCAGTAGGTCTAAAGGTCAGAGAATAAGCCTGTTTAAGACTTACAGATTTAGGCAGCCCCCGCGTATGAGCTGAAGCTGTAGGTGTGAGTCACATCAACCAGGAAGAGTCTGTAGAATAAGACAGAGCCCACAACGCAAGCCTGGGATTTACCACATAGAGCCTGGATTCCACATGAAGTTGCATGAGAGACGAGCACAGAGAACCAGAGAAACTCAAGGCACGAGTGAGGGACTGCTCAGCAATGTTGCCTTAGTTTCTTAGTGCTGCTGTAACAGAAATACCACAAGTGAGTGGCTTTAATGAATAGAAATTTATTTTCTGTCAGGAGGCTATAAGTCCAAATTCAGGGTGCTGGCTCTAAGGGAAGGCTCTCTCTGTCCCCACTGGGGAAAAATCCTTGTCTCAGCTTCTCTAGCAATCTTCTAGGCATTCCTTGGAGATCTCCATGTGGCATCTATCTTTCCCCCATTCTGCTTGCTTCCTTCTGTGCCGAATCTCGTTTGATATCTCAAAAGTGATTGGCTTAAGATATGGTCTCATTAACATCACAGAGAAAAACCTATTCCTAAATGGGATTACATCCACAAATACAGGGGGGTTAGGATTTACAACACATACACTGGAGGGACCCAATTCAATCCAGAACAAATGTCAAATACTGCAGCAAAGCTAAGTGAGATGATGAAATTGGACCACCTGGTGTGGCAACCAGGAGATGACCGGTGAGCTTCCCAATGATGGTTTCAGAGAAGTGACAAGGACACAAACCAGACTGAGGTGGATTTGAAAGATGAGAGATGAAGAAGTAGCAACAGCAAGGT